TTGATAGCTTCTTGAATGCCCATTGCTTCATTTTCAATTTCTTGTCACTTCTTTATTTTTTTCGATTTTGAGCTAGTTGGCACATTTGAAGGACCTCCAAGACATGTTAAAGGATCAAAATCAACATCATTAGTTCCAAAATCATCCAAAAATACTTGATTTTATGACACCATATGATCAATTTCCTCAATGGTATTGTGAGGCTAATTATCATGTTGGGATGATTTCTTTTTCTTTAATTCTTTTGCAGTCTCTAACTTTTCACTTGTAGCTCGATCATTTCCAAATAGTATCACAAATGTATCATAATGCAACACTGGTTTTGTCATCCACTCTTTAGCATTATTATTAACCTACAAATCATCAACATTTTAAAATAAAAGTAATTAATTTAAGTCAAGCAAAATCATAGCAAAGAAATTTAAATTAAAATTGTACTTTTATTAATGCATCCCAAACTTTAGGCTCGGCACTCCATAGCTTGGTAACAGGGCTCCATGAAAAACCACTAAGGTTTTTGAATAAATCGTGGGATTTTGAAAGGTTTGCCTTTAAAGTTTTCATGTGATTTTTAACTTTATCTTTGTCAACCTCCTTCCCAAGTTTTTCTTTCAATTCATTAACAATATTTTCATATGCTTTGGTGGTAAAGGAACCATTTACCCTATTGCCCAAATCATGTTGATGTAGGAAAGCATCCATAAGAGTCTCATCCATTATGGGTGTCCATACTAATTTGCCTTCTTCACTTGCATTTTCACTATTGCTACTTTTCTTCTTCCCACCCATACCTAAATAAAAGAAGTTATTAGATAACTTTATTCAGTAAAAATTTATAATAAAGAACATTTATTATTTATAACATTAAAAAAATAAAAGTAAATAATTCAAGAACAAAAATATTAATTCAAGTGAAAAGAACAAAAACAAATTACAAAAAGGAAAATCTAAAAGACCAAAAAGTAAACTAGCAATTTTTGTAATTGTTCCACATATCAGCAACAATAACATCTCTCATTATTTCCCACCTGTTGGCTTTTTTTTCTTCTTTTTTTGACTTCTGGTTTTTTTGCAATTTTTTTTGTTTTTTCATTTTCTTTTTTCCTTCAGTTTAAGCTTTTCATTAGGATCCACACCCATTAAGAAATTGTGACTAATGCAGCGAGCTAAAATAATTATATTTTGAGTTCTCACTCTATGGAATGATTCTGTTCTGCCCCTTAAAATCTCAAATCTTCTTTTCAAAACACCAAATGCTCTTTCAATTGCATTACGTAAGGTTGCATGCCTAAGATTAAATAATTCTTTAGTATTTTGAGGAAGATTATTTGAATATTCTTTGAGATGGTAGCAAACTCCTCTATAAGGAGTTATAAGGTCACTTTTTAGCATAAACTCAACATCAACAAGGTAAAATTTTCCCTCTTGAATGATAAGCTTATCTTCCCTTTTTAATGTGTTCTTAATAATTCTAGGATTTGAGGCAGTCCCTTCTCATTCTGTTAACACATAGGTGAACTTTAAGTCAAATGTACAGGCAGCTAAGACATTTTGGGTTGGATACTCTTTTCTACCATGATATTTAGGGGCATCTAAGGGTGAGACTTTTACACAAATGTGTGTTCCATCAATTGCACCTACACAATCCTTAAAGTATGGGTAGAATCTATTACTTGACATTATCTCTACAGGGATTTGTGAACCATTTGGTTGTTTAATAAATTTTTCTTCAACTGCTATTATAGCTCTCAACACACTATGAAAATGTCGACTAGTAATTTCTCCAGAACGTCGAAACCAAAATTGGATTGAACGGTTTTTGGCCTTCTTAGCTAGAATATAAAGAGTTTTAGTTACTTGTTCCTCAATAGTTGCTCTCCTTGTGGGTTGGAGACCTCCTTCCTTTTCAGTTTTTTCTTGAATTTTTAAAAAAACTCTAGGATCCATCCCTATGATATAATGTCTTCTATCACTCCCCACAATTTTGTTCATTATTTCATCTTGAACTTTTTCTCTCTCATTAATTATATTATCATCAAGAAGCTTCCTTTTTGGTCGACTTTGAAGAAACCACCAATAAACAACTAAGCATATTACATGAGCAATGGCATTCCTACGCATGTCTCTCATGGCATCCATCTATATTTATAAAATACAAATTAAAATTTTACGTCAATGTATATTTTAAATTCAATTGTATAACTAAAAAGTGAAAGAATAATCAAAGTCTCGATATACAAATATAAATATAAGGTATTTCAATATACAAATATAAAGTATCAATTTTTAGATTAGAATTACCTGGATCAATGTTGAAGGTTATTGCTGTGTCAAAACAAATTTCAGCTATTGATGTGTCAATGCTCTTAGAAGATAAATGGGCAAGACGTCCACTGCTTTTGCTTGTTGTCTCTGAAATTAATGGTTTGTGATGATATTTATTTATGAGATACAAATCAACATTCAAACAAAAAATCAAGTAAATCAAACAAATAACTGTAAAAAATCAAGTAAATCAATGTGTTTGGGATCTGTGTTTTCTTTTTATGAGTGGAAAGAGCATCCCGTGGACTGTGCTGCTGTTGCAAAACAATTTAAAATACAGCTAAAGATTTTTCATTGGCAACATCCTGGTTCTTAATGAAGTAATACCATATGAAGATGTTTCTTACACATTAGGGGTTTTGCATGCTAGTGGGTTTGACAATTAGGAAGTTTTTGATGATTAGAACAGTAAGATATGAAGAATTGCAAAAGAGGACAGAAACCCGACATGGCTGTGGTGTCGATACATAATTTTGGTGTCGACACTATACAGTAAGCATCCGGAAGCTCGACATGGACGTAGTGTTGACACATAATTTTGGTGTTGACACCAAATGAAAGGGCTATTCGACTCTATAAATTCATGCCTTCAAGTTGGGATGTTTATGTGTTTGGGGTACCCCTTGTACTCCGTATTTCAATAAATATTATTTTTTGCCGTTCAAAAAAAAAAAAAATCAATGTGTTTTGGTTTTGCTTGATTAATGGTTTGTGATGATATTTATTTATGATATTTTTTTCAAAAACATTAAGAATGGTAAAAAAAAAAAGAAAACTTGATTTCCAAATAAATCAAGCAAGACATAGTCCTCCACCTTGTGGCCTGGGAGGAGGCACATTATGGATATAAATGTAGGTTCGCTGTAATTGTGCAGTTTTGAAAGCTGCTAAATTGTCGATACGGACAAAATGACAATTTCATCATTTTCTTTTCTCTCCCTAAGCGCCCAGTTCACTCATGCATTTCATCAAACAATAGATGTGCATTGAAAAGCTTTAGGTGTATAGAATACTGTGAAGACAAAACACAACTCAATCACATATAAAACAATACAAACTGATAAATGGAAGGATCACAGAGTTAAACGGTGAATATGAAACAAAATAGCATTTTCTAATCAACTGTCATAGAGGAAGTTAAAGGGAAACATAATTGAAAATAGGAAACAGAAATGAGATAAATACATGTGAATCAAAACAGCTAATTCCTTGTTTTTGTTTTCAAAAGAGAGAGCGAGAGCAGCCGGTGAGCTAGAATGCTAGCAATTCCATTTTCTAATTCAACTTTATTTTTAATTTCAGATGCTATATTGTAAATTAAAAATGGTCGAAGCCGGTGAGAGAATGGTGAAAGCTCAAAAATAATCAAAATTGAAGTTGAGCAGGTATATCCTTACCTTGAATTTAGTTGCTGTTGATGTTGATAACCAAGTAGAAGAAAAACCAGAAGATGTTAAATTATAAGAGTAAAGAGGATATTACAGTAATTTTTGTTGGAAAAATCTTAGCCTTCGCCAAATCCGTCCCAAACCCCCCAAATTGGGGGGATTGGAAATCTGCAGTTGTGGTGGGTTGCTGAGGGGATCCAAACCTCCTCCATCTCCTTCCCCTTCTTGCTCTTTACTTATCCAAACATAAGGGAGGAGACCGCCTCCCCTCCCTCTCCCTCAATTACCATTCGTCCCCTTCATTCCCCATCCTTCTCCATTGGTCTCCCTCAATGCAAACAGTACGTTTGAGCTCTGGCCAGTCAACGACAAGTGTGAGGAAGAAGTCTACATTGAAGCATTCGTCTTGTTGAACATCATCTCCTTGTTCTTTTCATCATCTTTCTCCAGCAATACCAACATCAACTGTCTTTAAGGGAAACATGGATCTCGTTCTTCTTCGCAGAGATTTATCTTGTAACTTCAGATCTTGCCCTCTCGATTTCTTCTCGTTGTTGTTGGATTCACTTTCCTATTTTATTTCTTCTTCTTCCTGTTCGAGATCCATCAATGAAGCCAAGATTTGCAATCCTTCTAGATGGTTCGACAGCTTCATGGGTCAGATATGAGTTCTCAAGGGAGAACCCACACAAATCTGGAAGGGGAAATAAGAGGAAGAAGAAAGGGGAAAAAGGTAGAAGAAGGAGGGAAATGGTGGAAGAAGTGAACAGTATAATATATATCAATTATCTAGGTTTTTTATTTAAATAGGAAAAAAATACCACATAGAAAAAGAAACAATGCCATCTATCACCTTTTGCTCGGTTTGTTTTCCATGTAATGATTATTTTTTTATAAAAATGTGATTTTATGGCATTTTAATATGATAGAGTCTATCTAATTAACGGAATGACTATTTTGGTTCTGAAAATGAAAGTGAAAGGATAATTTTGATATTTTTTGAAGTTTAAGGACAATTTTGGTATCAAAGTGAAAAGTTGAGAGATTAAAATGATATTTTAACCATATTTTTACACATGTTTACCAGAAATTTAAACTTTTGAAGAAAAATAAGAATCAAGTGAATGGTAAGTGAACTTTACCTCTGACACTCTAGAAGACTGGCAAAATCCACATATGGCTATATTTGCCTACATCTTTTCACTAGTAGGAATCACCACAGATTTAGTTTTCAATTTGCAATCAAAAATCACTAAAGCTTTAGATTGCAGAATGGAGAGCCCATGGTTAGGAAGAAAGGCTTGATTGTCTAGAGGCTCTAGCCTTAAACAATACCAAAATCCAATAGCAATAGTAACAAGATGAGAGTAAAAAAAACAAAACTAAAACAAAGTTGCACGACTGAGCTAAAATCCAAAATTTAAATCCATGAAGTCATGAACAGTAGAAAAGCTAAAGTCCAAATGCAAAAAAGAAAAACATGGTTGAAACTTGAAACATAATTGCATACTTACACTATTGGACTAAATTAAAATCCAAATCCATAGACAAAACAAGAACTAAAATCCAAATGCCAAAAAACTAAAATATAGTTGCTACACAATCGTATTGTCTACTATGCTGAACTAAAATAAAAAACATACACAAAAATAAAACTAAAACCCAACTGCAACTATTCATCATCAAACCAAGGTTCTGCATCATCTTCTTGAAATTGGAGCACCCTATTTGCATCACTATTAGCAAATCCAACGTCTTCGTCTACCCCTAGTTCCTCCTTATCAAAAGACTCATCTAACTCTTCATTAAGCTCTCTCATCAGAGGAGTAGTATGAGTAAAATGAGACCTAGTGCTTCTTCTATGCTTTAAAACTAAATCTGCCCCTAATGCTTCTACAACCGCAATATAAGGAATATTTGTCCTTGAAAATAAGTTATGTTCTTCACCAATATCACTATTCTCTACCAACCATCCTTGTGCATTAGTGGCATCGCTAGTAAGTAAGATACCTCCATTCTCACTCTCTTTTTCTTGTTGGATAACTTTGCATTAAATTGAATAAAAACCAAATCATTCAATCTGGAAGCTTGAAGCTCATTCCTTTTTTTAGTGTGTATCTATTAATGAAAAAAAGCACAAATATTAGTATCATATATTCATATGTAAGAAAAATGTAAAATAAAATTATATAAGGGAACACATTTTATTTTCAGTACAAGGAATGCTAGGATTTTTCAAGTTCCCAAGAGCTTAAGAAAGATATATGTTAATTTAGTGAAACACATTTTATCAATTATCACTAAAGAATCTTTCATGAAACTAATGGCTAATATATAAAACAGTAAACAGTCACTTACTCCCTTGAAGCAACTCTAATTCCGTTCACATCCTGAAGCACTAGAAGTTGACAAAATTCTTGTTGCCATTTTGTTGAGATATGGAGTTTTTAATCCCCAAGTTGTCCACCATGCAACTAAAAGTTAACCAATTTACAACCATGCAACTAAAAGTTAACCAATTTACAAGAAATAGACAAATAGTTAAAAATAATCTTCAATTAATTAAATATAAACATTAAACAGCAAGAACAGAAGCACTAAATAATTTAATAATGTATTACTTGGATCAGACCTATCCATTGGAACCTGTGTTCTAGAAATTGCACTCTTTCTTGAAAAACAACCTACATGAAGCTTGTATTTGGTTAACTCACTGCTTTGAATTTCATATATGGCATCCTCATCATTCATAAAAAACTTTTCAATGCAATCTAATGGGGCTAATTGAAGCTTCGAATCCATCTTCATACTTGGATCATTATAAAAATAATATGGATTCAACAAATATGTAGTTTATGTAAGGATGTAGCTTATCTTTTTGCTTTTTGTCAATGATGTCCAATTTTTGTCAATGAAGTCCAAAACACGCTTTCATCCTTTTTCATTGTTCTTATAAAGTACTTGTATTTCTTTTTTTGCCTTCTCCAACTCTTCAAGAATGAAACCCATGGATGGTCTATTATTCCCATCAACTAGCTGCAAAACCTATAGAAGTATGTAAATTATAAATTAAACACAGTAAATTAACCTAGTAAACTTTAACTAAATGCAAAATGTCATGTGAAAAAATATTATTAACATGGATAATAAAAAAATAACCAATTTGATATTAGAATAGAGGAAAAACTAAAAAAGGAAAGGAAAAAGACAAACCTTCACTAAAGGATCAAAAACCTTCAAGCATATATTAACATCTTTTCAAAATGAAACATTGAACACTATTGCTTTGGCTTGAATTCCCTTCCTAGATTTACAATGCTTGGACTTTTGCCATTCATTCAAAGTAAACATAAGCCTTAACTTCTCCTTTTTCTCATACAAGCTTTGCAAAGTGAGAAATGAGGTTGCAAAACTCAATAGTCCCAACCTCACTATGTCTGCCTTCAATGTATACTTATGCATCAATGCTAATGTTCTTTGATATTCATAGATGAAAATTGTAAGATTTTGAGCCCTTGTGATAGCATTATGGAATTTGGGGATCTTATTAATTCTTTCAAGTATCAAGTCGATTGTGTGGGCAGCACAATAGCTTTATCTTGTTTGCAACATTATCAATGACAACTTGAACAACATTTTCTTCTCCAAGCTCATCAATACCCTTACTAACATAATTTGTTATATACTCAGCTATGTGGGCATCCTCAGATTCCTCCTTCGATGAAAGAAAAATTGTTCCTAATCTTGAATTTACACATAAGTTCATGATGTTTTCCTATCTATCCAAGCATCCATCATTAATGAACATCCAATTTCTTTCCACTATTCTTCATGGGTTTTTAGTGCCTTCTTTATCATTTCACCTTCTGTCTTTAAGAGAGGCACACTTAATTGATATTTACTATGTGGCCAATAACCTTTTCCATGGTTACCTACTGCCTCCATCATAGCGATGAAGCTTGGATGTGCAATGGCATTAAAAGGGATGCCAGCTTGGTAAACCTATCGTGCCACGTATGGATGAACATCATCATACGTTCTTTAGCAATGGAATCATCTAATCTTTGTTACTTCAAGGCTTTTTCAAATATTTTACTTTCATCCATATTTTTCAAAATAAATCTATCTAGTGGGCCAAGCTTCCTAAATTGCTTTGCTAGGGGTGGAATAGGTATATCAATAGCATCAACATCTATTTCCATGCCTTGTTGTATTTTAAGAGAATTAATAATTGATTCTCTTATTTTTGCTAATTTTTATATTTTTTGATTTTTGGTTATCTTTACTTCAGCCAAAGCTTGGAAACATCTTTTCTTAGCTTCGTTTGAAACTTTTTGACATTTCTTAACATTGGCTCCATAATGAGCAAGATGACATTTTATTCTGTAGATGCCACCTCTGAATATACTTTAGCAAAAGTTGCATTTTACCCCAACCAAAGCTTCCCAACATCTTTTCTTAGCTTCATCTGAAACTTTCTGACATTTCTTAACATTGGTTCCATAATGTGCAAGATAGACATTTTATTCTGTAGATGCCACCTTTGAATATACTGTGGCAAAAGTTTCATTTTACAGCATTTAAGTCGTTCGGATCACATAGTTCTCCATAATCCCATCCCACATCATCTGATTTCCTCTTCAATGAGGAAAAGGAAGTTGAAGTTGCAATTGCACTAACATTTGAGGCATTCGAAGAAAGATTTGTATTCCTTACATGGACTAAAGTCTAGACAAAATAGATAGAAATAAAAAATTCAACTTCAAGTCTAAGTTTGAATCTAAAATAGAGGAATATACAGAAATAAATATTCAAATTACAAAGTCAAATGTTGCTAAAATTATAATTTACAACAAAAGCACAAATTAGAAACAAATATTTAGACGTATAAATTGTGTAACTAAAAATTTTTTACAAAGGAGAATGTTCTTGTACATTTGTTGTTGAATACAAACTTTAACAAAAATACCATAATGAAGCACAATTTTCAGTTTTGAAGATGAATGCTCAAAGTTTTCCATGAAATTATAATATCAACATACCTTGAATGCAAATTAGGAATTCAAAGGTATGCTCAAATTTTGGAAAGAAGGCAATTTGGAGGCTAAGTATTACAGAGGACTAGAGCCCTAAAATCAGAAGATGATCAACTTCACCATGGGGAAAAAAAGGAAAGACAAAATGAGAAAAAAAAAAAAAAGGAACTAAATTACTATTTGAGTGTTATTTTGTGTTTATATACATAGATGGATCAAAGTGGATTTGGGTTTGGAAATGGAAAATGAAGGGCCTCACCATCTTAGAGAAGGAAGCGAGAAGAAGGCACAGTGAAAGGCTAAAAGTGGGTGAATGGGCATAAATAACAATTTAGGGCATTTGTTTAATAATATTTTTTTATGACAAGGAAAATGAAATTATTTCATTAATTTGCAACAACAAAAAAAAATTGCCCAAGTGATATTAGGCGCAATTAAGTGCACCTACTAGCGCTTAAGCTTGCTTAATTGAGATAGGCGGTTCAAACCGCACAGACCCACTGACTAGAGACTGATGCGATGCGAAAAACCAACGCACAGTCATTACGCGACGCTTAGGCAACATTAGGCTTGCTTTTTACAACAGTGATTTTATGTTATGAATTTGAGTGGGTTAAGGGTGTGGTGTTTGTCATTAACATATCACCAAAGTGGTAG